AGGAAAACTCAACTAAGTCATTTGCAGTGATGTTTACTACAGTGGAAACATCTTTTCTTGAGGAAAAAAAGGGAGTATTAGTCGGGGATTGACAGCTGGAAGCAGTAAGCAACAGTTTTCACAGTGAGAAAAGATACCAGCGATGTCCCCAAGGATCTATGTGGGAACCTGTGTTATTCAAGGTACTCATATGTTATCTGGAAAAAGGTATCAGTAGTGAGGTGATGGTATTAATGAATGATACAAACTCATTCAAGATGACTGGATCAAAAGTGAATAGCAATGAACTGTGGAAGACTGTCACAACATGGAGTTGGAAAAATAGTAAATGAAACTCATTGGGAGTAAGTACAAAATAATGATCGTGTTAACCAGTAGTTTTGTGAGCACAGGAACTAACGAAGCCTACTTCAATAACCGGCAATTGAGTGACATTTTAATTGAATTATATTAGGGCTGCAGTGTGACTTCAGTCTTTATTACACATCAAAGAATCCACAGAGCAAAGCCCAAAGGAGCAAATTCTCTGCTATCTAATGAGACATTAAATCAGGTTGAAACTTTTTTCCTGCAGGTAGAGTACTCGGGCTGCTCGCTCAGGTCTGTAGTGACTAGTAGGAGTTAGATCTAGAGTGACCTTGCCCTCACAGCACACACTCAAGGTACCTCCAGTCTGGCTTCCTATTTCTTGAATTCTGGGCTACTGACTTTCACAAAACTTACTGAAACTTCAGACAGCAAAACCTTTATACTGTTTGTTTAATTCGCTTGAAATAAAAAAAAAAAGAATGTAAAATGTAAAGATAATAACAAGGCATTCAAAAAATATTTCGAGGACCATGATCAATATAATCCCACAGGAATCAGCCCTGGTGTCAGAGGGAGCAGCCCTGCCTTCCTCTCCCTCATCTTCAGCTACTCACCCCTTGCATGCTCCACCTTCTGCTTTTTGTCGGTGTTGGTGTACATACAGCCGCTCGGTGAGCTGGGTCAGTCTGAAAACTACTGGAGGAAAAAAATGGTTAGTTTTTAACTAGGTTAGTTTGCCTGGTCCCAGTGCAAGATGGGGGCAGAGGTGGCTCTTCTGGCAGCAGTGCAGATCTATACCAGATTAAATCGAGTTAAAACTGTCTGGATCCTGACACATTTAGTGCTACATTTGGTATTCCTTCATCTCTGTCATCTGTGAGGGAATGGTTTCAGGTAGTGAACAATGGGTCATACATAGTAATTTCTGCTTCTTTCATGACCTGTCCAGAAAAAAAATATGGTTAAGGCTACTGCTGTTGCTGTCTCTTTTGTACGAGTAGAATAAGAAAATTTAACTAGGGTGCAGAATCAACGTTAAGTCTCTCCTAGGTCATTTGTCTGACAAGACCAATGACTGCAAGGCACAGTCATGGGAAAGGGCTGGACAGCGCATCCCAGGCAAGCAGCCCATCTGCTAGCCCGAACACTGATGCTCCTGCTTGCACCTTCCCTCTCCACGAGCTTGAAGAATTCTGTATTCTGGCAGTCAAACAGCTTTGACAGCAGAGAGAGTACACACGTTAAAAGTAGGCTGTACTATGGTGGTGGTGAAGTAGTCTTCTGAAATGTCTGACATAGGGGCTTGTTTCTCCTTGGGCCCATATGACTCACAATATGGGAAAACTTCAGTGTAGAGTAAAATGCAGTGAAAACGGCAGGGGAGACTCAGAAGGCCACCATCACTCTTTCAAAATAAAAATGTCTCCTGTGCTTTGTCAAAGGTCGGAAGAAAGGACTTGGTGCTTACCGTGATGTATGGTCTGGGTGCTGTGAACCCGCAGCGGAGGCAGCACCGTGGGCAGCAGGGAGGAGGAAGCCTTAGCTGCGGTGCAGAATGGCATACACAAGGCATCTCCATCTCTAGCGCTTTCTACTGACCGCTCTCAGCGGTTTCTGATTCTGCCTCGTAGTGACTCTTCAGATGTGGGTTTTTTGCTTTGTTTGGAGACCTAGTTAGGTCTTTTGTGCTTGTTGTGGAACCCATTTTAAGGCACTTAAAATCTTCCTGTGTATTGTCCATGGAGTCTGGACATGAGGCTTGGATAACGAAGTGCTTCAGTCCTCCTGTGAAGCTGGGTCATGGCAATTTTGTTTTCCCCCACATACAGAAGAGTGAAATCATATAACTTTTTAGTAGAAGTATTACTGTAATTGAAAATTTATTTTAAGTTTCTAATGTCACCAAGTAGCTACAGTTTACGAAAGCCAAAGTCCTTTTCTGCTAGATTAAAAAGAATAAACAAAACCCCCAACATAGCTCCATTAGAAACACCCTCAGCACTCTCACTGAATTTGAGAGTGCATATGCAGAGAATATAGAGCAAACACTTGTGTTCCGCATATTATCTAATAATGATTTCTGCATATTCTCTAATAATAATTTCAAATACCAATGTCAATAGGCAGGAAGTTTCTTCAAATGCCAGAGAGCACCCCACCTTCACTGAAATGCTCTGAGGGCCAATAATGAAAGCCGCCACATCGTACAGGATTCCATTCATTAACAGTAATTCCTTAAGACTTAAAACTAATGCATTAATCACGTTAATGATAATCCATTAATGTGAAGAACCTGAAGATAAAAAGGTAGAATCAGGGATATGCTCTGTAGCAACAGCGTTACAGTTTTAGGGTAATAATGAATTACAAAATCAGTCTGTAGACTGACTAGAGGATTAACCATGCCAGCAGAGCATACGAAGTGAATACTATGGTTTAGGAGAGCAGAAAATGATGGCATAGAATATTAATGTTTCTACACAGGGACTGGTTTGCATTGAAGGTGTAGGTTGGAAAGGTGACTCTAGATGGTTGCTTCTTGAAATCAGGCCCAAAGTATTTAAGGACCAAAATCATAAATGTTTTATTTAAAGAGTGATACACTTGTTTTACGTTGTGGCAGAATGATCCCTGTATACTGATCTTGATATCTTTATATCAGAGGGCAGCAATGCCACCACTTTGAACACTTGCAGGTAATTATCACTAGAACATTTTGATAATGACAGTGTATTTTGCAATATGAACAAAATGAGGGAAAAAATAATAAGAGAGTTTAGAAAAAAAATGGCCAGACAAACCTGGGAGCACTGACTTCAACAAGTTCAACAAATATTCAAGCCACATTTAATAACTTTATGGAACTAGTATCAAAGTAAAGAACATATAGTCAAAATACAGAAATAAAGTTGAATGAGAGAAAACAGCCTGATGAGATCAAACAAAAGTTAAACAGAACAGATTAATATAAACAAGTTAGCTGAAAGGTCGCTTTGCGTTGTGTAGCAGTATTTCAGCAATTCCTTTCCTCAATAGCCAGCCTAGAAGGAAGAACTAATCTGAAAAAGAGAGATATGCATCACTTTAAAATCCTGCTGTATGTGTTACTGTGATTGTTTGTAGAAACAGCATCACCCCAATTTGCAACCGATGTTAATCTGTTATTTAATAAACATAGTGGAATTTTTTTGTAAGAAAACAAAAGTTCAGAACGAAGCATTCAGCTTTCCATTACACATACATTTATCTTTCTGTTGGCTATGAATTCTTTTATTTGTGAACTGCAAATGATTGGAATTTGCTTACACTTCCAAACCTTTTTTTTTTTGTCATAGATAATTCACTTCTAAAAGTGTCTGATGTAGCACTTGCTAATTACAGAATTACAAAAGGTAGAATAAGGCTTTCCCCGCTCAGAAATTTGCATTTTTGGTAAAGGTAACAATGTATCAGCTTCACTAACACCCTAATAATAGGCATACATTTAATTTTATATCACTTTCCAAAGAAAAAAGAAAGACTAAAAGATGTGTGCAATTGGTTTTTGCTTAGTATAAAATTTTCAAATCAGATCTCATTTTGCTACGATAAACACTATGAATTACATATAAACATATGTGGAAAACAATGTACCAGGCTTTAAAAAAAAAAAGTTTGATTAGCCGATGATGATTCTGCAGTGCTATTGTGCACTATCCTGTGAGCCCAGAGATTAAAAAAAAAGAAAAAAAAAAAAAAGGCAAAAAAAATTAACCAAACCAGTTTTGATGCAGGTTTGGCATCAAATGTACATTATGGTCTTAGACTCAGTATGCTCATTCTATGGTTGAGAAATCTAAAGTACCAGATTTTTCCACATCAGATAGCAGGTAGCTGGTGCATACATTTCAGACAAGAGAACTAGGATTTCTTTAATTTGAGACGGGATCAGTAATCTATTGTTAAAACGTCCAAAGTGTGCAATAACAAGGCAGATTTCTTATTACACCACCTCTTAAGATACTCATTGTTTGATGAAACAAACAAGGTGCTTTAAAACAGCAGAGTAATAGGATACAAACAAGTGGCAGAATGAAGGAAAACTGCTAAAATGGGAACCGCCCTTTCTCTCACAATGAGAAATAAAGAACTTTTGTATCTGGTATTTGAAAGGTTTTTAACAGCTGATATTCAATATCAGCTGATTCCTGAAGTGTTGGCAAGATACCAGGTTTCTGGCACTGGCCATTTCTTATGTCATTTAAATATTCACATCATGCAATACGCAGTTTCACACACTGCAATGTAATGGAAAATACTTCCTAAACTGAATCAGAACTGAGACCCAAAGCAGAACCAGTAAATAAATACCTTGCATATATGTCAAACTATATTCTTCAAACAAAACCTTACATCTTATCAAAGAAGTCAGAAAGTACTAACAAAAATTATATGCTTTCTACTATAATACTGTTAAATTTCCATGGCTGAGAATGTCCCGTTAATTTTTTCTGCCTTTTTAAATTAGTTGACAAGGTAGAAATTCAAACACAGAAATAAAATGCATATCTATGAGAGCACTGGCTCAGTGAGATATCAAATATACAGCATTCTAGTGTCAAAAGTACAGGCAGAAACGTCCAAGATTTCTTGGTGAAAAAGGGGCATTTGAGGAGTAAAAATTCTACTTAACAATCACTCACATTTTAACAGTGCATTAATTATAACAAAAGCTGGATGATAAGTGAGCAACAGAGTCATAATGTTCAGTGTTCATAGCAGAATTTTATCCTCTGCTCTTTTAAATGAGGTTGGAAACATATACTCATGTATGTGAAACTTTAAGTAGCTATGTTGTTTTCAATTTTTCAGGATTCTTGCAAGAGGCAAAAGTTGTGACATTGAATTGAGTTGGATGATAGTACAAGGTGGCGTTGATAGAAGTCTTCCTTTCGATGCTGTGCCTCTGGCTTGTCAAAGGATGATTAGTCCTACAATCTTGTTTGATCTATTCTTTTGCCTCTAGGAAAAGGGTTTCTTGAGGATACAGTTTTACCTCCAGTAATGATTTATTTGGATCCAGCTGGGTCACCTGTAAAGACAAGAACAAGAAGGTATGTATAAGTAGACTTTTTTGAATTACCTTCACAGGACCGATTTTCACTGGGGAGATTTTTGAATCCCTCCATCAGTGACAACTGAAGTTGTGAGTATGAATTCCCAGGATGTAAATTCAGAAATATATATTGTACTTCGTGTGTTGTTATTATTATTTTGTAATAACAATAAACAGAATCCATTACATTAATTCCAAGAAGGTCTGGTTTTCTACCATAAACCAATGCGTGAATATATGTGTTTTTGTCAAAGTTAAGACCTTTCGGAAGGGTTACCAGAACACATGAGTTAAGATGAAAAATAAAACTGTCGTCCCAGATAAGTCTCCTAAAATTTCAATCAAACTGATGGTGCAAGCAACATAGTCAATCCAACACGATCTCTCCATTGAAGGGGGAAACTTATTCTGCCTTTATTTTCCTACTCCCTTTCTTGCTCCAAGTGACATGGTGAAGGACCTAACTTTCACTCACTTTGATGCTTATCAGCCACCTCAATGAACCTAGGCTGGGAGAAAACTGTCCACTTTTATTTGTTTAGTTATTTTTCTGTCATGCTAGTGAGTTTAAGTGGTTAACGCACAAGTCCAGTCAACACCAAATCCAGTGCAAGGTAAGTAGCAAAAACATGAAGCAGTTAAGCAGAAGGGAGGAACAGGGCCCTCCTCCTTTCACTGGGAATGAGATGCTAAATCAGCTCACCATATGGTGAAACACATAGGCCAAGAGGAAACGGTCTCAGGTTGCACCAGGGGAGGTTCAGGTTGGATATTAGGAAGAACTTCCTCACTGTAAGAGTCGTTAAGCATTGGAATGGGCTCCCCAGGGAGGTGGTGGAGTCACCATCCCTGGAGGTGTTCAAGAAACGTTTAGATGTGGCGCTTCAAGACATGGTTTAGTGGGCATGGTGGCAATGGGGACAGGGTTGGACTTGATGATCTTTCAGGTCTCTTCCAACCATACCGATTCTATGAAACTGCATCTCAACCCATCTATTGAAGTGTATATTTATTATGCATTTGTGTGTATATAAATATATACGCATTATAAGTACTATATGTCTATATATCATTTACATAGATGCTTATGTTTGTACATTTGTATTACAGGATTGTTCTCTGGAATCCTGGCCCTGACATTAGATTTGTAACGGTAAAGGTATTTAAGCAATCACTTGTGCAGGTAGGCATACAGGAGAATTCCAGTGAGAGCTGAATGCCATGCAATTTGGAAAATAATGATACAGGCACTATCTGCACCATTATTGCTGAAATTCTTCAGCATTTGGATCTTAGCACCAAACCCTGCAAGCTGCTCAACATCCTGACTGTCCCATGACCGACTTTCACTTCAGGCACATAAGCAATTCTCAGTTTATAGTCAGCAAGAAACTTTTGTGTTGAGGATTCTATTTAGATGCTAGACTGCTGCCTATAGGGTAAATCTCTTCTATGAAAATAAAACTTAATTGTAAATATTGCACAATATAATTATTTATATAGAGAAAATAATGACGACAAGGGTCCTAGTGTCCTTCAGACATTCAGGTTTACACGCCAATGCTGTGATATCCTTTAGAAGACTATTGCAAAGCTTCATATAGAAAGATGAACATTATTTCTTTTAATATTTTCTGAAATATTTCACTTCCATTTTAAAACTTATTTTCCCTGGTAATTCTGTTTTAGTTTATTTTGCTGTGTGAGCACACTAGTTACCCTAGAGGTATAAATGCAAATGCATACATAAAATTAGATATCTTTTATCTATGATCCTGCCATGCCACTGCTTTCTAAAATTATTTTTTGAAAACATTGTCAAGCACACCAAATAACTATGAATTAATAAGAAACCCTAATGTATTTTTTCTTAAAAGCATAATTTACTAATCCGGTTACCAATTAACAAAACCAGTATTGCTCCTCTTTCTCTCCCCCCCAACCAAGTCAGGCAAACTTAAAATATATTTGTATTTCTATTGTTTTATTGGATGATTACAGAACATTCATCATTTAAACAAATATTAAAAGCTTATCCCTTCCTAAGTTCATTGAAATCAATGTAATTTCACCTCTCTGACTGCAACAGAATTAAAAAAAAACCCAGAATTAAAAAAAACCCAAACCAACAAACAGAGGCTTTATTTTGATTCCCAAAGCAGGACCGTATTTTCTTAAATTTCATGTACCATGGTGAGCTATTGCTAAATGTCTGAAGAGAAAAATAATTTATAAAAGCCAGACTCAATTTTAGATTCCTATTATCTACAGTCCAATTATGCAGTCCTGCACAGATGCTGCTTAAATTATTGAAAGGTTATTATCTTAGAAAGCAAACCTGTTATGTAAAAAACAACCAAAGTAGTGCATTTAAGTTTGTGATTACAGAAGTATGGTAATTAAGTATCTTGTTGCATTTTTTAATGTTTTGGTATTCTGCTACAGTCCATTATTGCACACAGGCACAGAAAGTGAGGTAAATGGGGGTCCCTGCAATTCACAGCATATGAGCACCTGAGAGAAGCAATTTTCCTTCTTTTCAGTTCAAGCCAGTATCTAATTAGACCTCTCTGTTTTCAAATCCTGCAACCCTTTGCTGCAAGAAAAGCTAGGGAGGACAGGATAAGTCTCTTCTACATTTGGAAAAAAAAATAATCTGAAAAGCAAGCCTGGGCAATAACACAACCTTCCGGACTGTAACCATACAGAAACCTATTATTCACTTGAGTGTAAGTCAAGATACACATCCTCGTCTAGGATTTTCAAACTTCAAGTACGTTAAATAGTAACAATGCATGATGTCCCTTCCTCAATGTCTTTGTACTTAGAAGGTTAGCTAAAAGCGTTGTGGAGTACCTGCAGCAAAAGGACTGTGCAGCTTTTCACTGTAATTTCAGTGTGCCGCTTAATTCACTGAGGGACGGCAGAGTTTGCAAATGTTTACACCATTACCCAATTAACTAACAATATGGCTCCTACATCTGTCAACAAACAAAGCTGTTGTTGCTTTGTTTTAGCTCCTTGGCATTTTCTGTTCATATGGGTCGCCATTGTACTTAATTATCACACCATAACCCTTCTGCAGCTTCTACTTTGTTATTTGTGGTTTGTAAATATGTTGTTTACTACGAAGAATAGAAGCGTTATTACTGAACACACCCCCTACCAAAATAAATGGTTTCTTTTGTAAATAAATGAAATATAAGACCTAAGATGCTTTGTAACTTAGAGTATTTTAAAACAGAATTAGAAACCAAAGAATGATGTATACTAGAGATCAAAGGACCCCGGAGGAGCTGTAGCTGGCAAAGATGTGTCCAAGTGTAGTGTTCCAATTATTTTTATTCACTTAAATGTACGTGGATTATTTCATAATGCAAAATATAAAATACCTTCATATTTAAATGTGTACCTTGTTTCGTTACCATTAGGATAAATTCTGGAGTCCGCTTCAGTGCTGACAATCCTTTGCTCTGATGTCATTGCACGGCGCTCTTTTCAAAACCACCTTGCACATTATGTAAGTTACGTTGTCCCAACACCCTATACCTTTATTATTTAAAGATTTCTTCTATGTTAGCAATTACACAGGAAATCATTTAAGCATGTGCTTATATACTGAATCTGATTTGATCCGATTGAGATTACATAGGTATCCATGTGGGGAAATTAACACTTTCTTGATTAAGGTTGCAAAATCCACCAAGTTAAGCATTCAGCATTTGTTAAAGGCCTAAACAAATGCTAAAAGCATAGAGTTTCTCTACATTTTCAAGTCCTACAGTAACTGACTTTCTACCAGTCGCATGCATGCACTCTAAGAGTCTACACACAGATCACATGGTGATACCAGCTGATGAGGTCAATGTATTTTTAAAATAAATTTTGTGGTTTTGCTAAGGTAAGTATATTATAATGAAATGTAAACTAAAACCCCTTTAAAAGAGACTCTAAGCTGTTCCAAGTTTATATGGTGAGGAGGGTGGCAGAGGAAGGAGACAATGTTCAGGTGCTAAGAGTATAACTCAAGTGACAGCAAAATTAGTAATATTAAAGCTCACAGAATTCTGTCGAACAACATGCACGCGCTTTCAGGGCTGTCCCAAAGCCAAAGCACATAGTGCCCTGGGAGTTTTCAAATTCAGGCAAATGGCTTTGTATGCAAACTGTAACACTTCCCTCTCTTTAGGGAAGACTCTTTCTAGCAACACGACCAGAGGGTGGTAACAGGACCTTATTTCTATCAGTGCTAGATCTTGCCGTTGAGCTGCAAAATGTTTCCGTTTCGCTGAAATAGGTTTAAATGGGTAAAACAAGACTTTTCTTCTAACTACGGATACAGTTTTACAGGACCTTACGCTTTAGTGCACTGGAGCCAAGACTTTATCTTTTAAAGAGCTTTGTTACATAACTGATGTTCGTTTGGTGCACAGGAAATTCATTCTTTTAATAGATATTTGTTTAAATGAATTCTGTGGTAATTATTTCAGCAAAGCACTAGCTAGTTGGTTTGAACTAACTTCTGTGGCACTTTGAATGATTTAAGACAGAGCTAAACCAAAAGATAATAATGTTAACTCTTATATTTCTCCTGTAAGAATGTAGTAGCTACTTACATTTTATTCTGAATAAATTAATTGGGTTTTTTAATAACCCAATAATGAAAATTAATACCACTTTAAACAACACTTTAATACATTTTTATAGCAAGGTCTTTTTCCTTCTAGAATAATCTTTGTATTATTTCTGCCTTCACCTTTGCTGACCTATCTGTTCTATGACACATTCACATCCTGAACAGGTGTACTTTTACCATGTCAAAGGTGTGGTTCCTTACCCTGCCTAACTCTGCAGGGAAAAGATAAATAAAAAAAAAAAATGGCTTAATGCCCAGGAAGGTCATTTAAAAATAAAGAATCAAATACACAATTATTATGACACTTACACAAGCAGTAAATATCACACCCTTCACCTTT